AGTCATACAACTGTACGGGCTAGGATCAAAGTAGATAATATTATACCAAGTGGAGGTGTGAGTCGTTAAACATAGTATCAGAGCTATGAGCAAGCCAGATGTGTGGCCAACGAGGACGTTAGGCCTCAAAAGGTGACATGATTGTAACAATGATCAATTCCTTGCGTATTGTTATAAATAATAAGTTGGGCTTTAAAATGTGGGGGTGATTGTGACAAATATCAATCCCATTAAGGCAAAAGAGTCAAAACATGATAAGTTGCATAGTCCTACATTGCTTGAGGAATGTTATATGTGATGGTTTATAAGTAAAGACATCATCTCCTAATGGTATGAGGTTTTTTATGGTAAAGCTCAAGAGAAAAATCATGTAGGCTTAAGCTTAAAGCAAACAATATCATACCAATTAGAGGTGTTGGTCATAATAGATGGTATTAGAGCTATGACTCAGTCAGAAGTGTGGCCAATGAGACCTTCTGGGGTGAAGTCCAAGAGCAAAACAATACGTCACAAGATGTGCGGTTCATTAAAAAAAATAAAAATAAAAAGTTTGAATTGTGCTTCAAATCTGCAAATTAAACAAATAGACTATTTGTTTACATGTTGAAAGTTGCTCTGTTTTAGGTAAACAATAAATCAATAATGTATTGTTATGTGATATGTAGCATTATACGTCTTCTATTTCTTAGTTGTTCTACATCAAAGTGATTATGGATTCAGATTATTTGTGTAAATAGTGTCCAACTAATCACATTATATCATGTTATTGAATGGACTCAATTATCAAACATAGAAAAGTAAATAATTAAAATTTTCAATTTTATGAATATTGCGGCAAAATGTGATTGTCTAAACATTCATTTCGACCTTAAATTTGAACACATGATATAAATGTTTATCGTCGTAAGATATTAGCTTTCAAATAGTATGGAGGATTTTAGTAGATTTACAACTTGGGAATGACAATTCACTTGTTTCAGTAGATCATTTGAAATATGATTTTTTTTAAGGGATACTCAATTAAAAATTCACATATTAATTCAAGTACATATGAATTCTTACACGGGCTATATAGTTTGTACATGCCTTTTTTTTCGTTGAGGCTTGAAAATTACCTTTTAACTATAAAATTTGATAGTAACTGTTATTCTATTAAGACTTCAAAAATATATTAAGACGCAACGTCATATTGTTTTCCAAGTAAACTTATAGTTATTTTACATGACGTTAAAAATAAATATGTTATTTAAACTATTCTGTTGCCAATTGTGCTCTATTTTAGGTCTCGTTTGGCACACTTTATTTGGACTAGTATTAAGATAAATAATCCTAATCCTTAGTGACAAAGTTGGACCGAATTAGTTATTCGATTGAAGACAAAATAGTTCAAAATACGTGGGATTATTAATCCTAGAAAAAACAATGGGATTATTTGTCCAAGGTTTGGATTAGAGCATTTCCCCAACCTAACCCTACGTCCACCGCCGGCCAAGCCCACTGGCGTCACAGGCCACCCCAAATCTTCGCCACCCATCACCTTTTGACCTATCCCCCGAAAATTTATCACCTCATCCCACCTTTCATCTTCGACGCTCAATGCCACCAAGGATCTCGTATCGATTGCAGCATCCCAGTCTTTCATAATCGATCGTAGCGTACGTCACTGGCATGCTCTGTTATTGTAGAGAAGTGAAGGAGAAGGATGTTTTTCGATTTCAATTTCTTTTCAATCCGACAATTACCAAACACAACATAAGATTTAGCTATATCCAACCCAATCCAAACTTCATAGTCGAATCCAATCCAACATGCCAAATAGGGCCTTAGGCTATTATTTTCGAAATGGCATAATTTTTTTCCTTTCTTTTTTCTGTTGTCAAAAAAAAAAAAAAAACTTTTGTGGTAGGAATTTTTTTATTTTTTTATTTTCATCCTCTTAAATATAAATAGCAAATGACTGTCATTCACATTATTTGCAATTTACAATAACTCCATTTTATCTTTCATCCACTCTAAAATATCTACCAAAATGTGGTATGTACTTTTTTTTCTTTTTTCTATCCACTTTTTCCATAAAATTTTCCCATAAAAAGTTACTTTTATATTACAACATTTATATTACGCCAATAAAGCTAACACTGCCTCAAATAATAAATCATGTTACACATATTGAATAAGAGCATTGGTGTTTCCTCCACAGAGGCATACACTTTGCTTTATCTTTACGTTGCCCCTCAATTATAGTAGCAAACAAGTAGGCCAAAGGTGGAGGTTCGTAGCGAAAAAAAAAAGTAGAGGTGCATGTCGTGATAGATGGTATTAGAGCGATGACCCAACTAGAAGTGTGGCCAACGAGGATATTAGATCTTAAAAGTGGGGTAATTATGACGGTCATCAATCTCTTTTAACGAAAAAATTAAGATATATTAAGTTGTGCAGCCTCACATTACTTAATAAAGGTTATATGTGATGATTTATTAGTAATGACACCATCTCTTAATAATATGAGGCCTTCTATAGTGAATTCCAAGGGCAAAACTATGTGGGCTCATACCAATAGTGGACAATATTGTACAAAATAGATATTTGTGGTTTGTTATAAGTGGTATCAGAGCTCTTGCCCAGTCAGAAGTGTGACAAATAAGGACGTTGGGCACTAAAAGATGAGGTGATTGTAATAGTTATCAATCCTTGGAGGCGAAATGCCGATAACAAGGTAAGCTGTGAAGTCTCACTTTGCATAACGAAGGTTATAAGTGATGATTTATAAGTAAGGACACAATCTCACTATAATATGAGGCATTTTGGCGTGAAATCTAAGAGCAAAACTATGAGGGCAAAAAGATTAAGATAGGATCCTGCACACCTGGAAAGGTTACAAGTGATGGTTCAAAAGGTACTACTTCCTAATGGTATATGACCTTTTAGGGGTAAAGCATAAATGTAAAACTGTACAAGTTTAGACACAAAACGATATCATACCAATTGAAAGTTCGGATCATTACAAAAAAAAATTAATAATAATAAACTGTAGTTCAAATATGCAAAACAAATAGAATATTTGTTTATATGTTGGAAATTATTGTGTTTTGGGTAAACAAAAAAAATCAATAATGTATATTTATTTAATATATATCATTATGTGTCTTATTTTTTAACTTTCTATATTAAGGTGATTATGGATTCAAATTATCTGTGCTAAAAAATATATAATCAATCGAATTATATCACGTTATTGAATGGACACAAATATTAAATTATGAAAAGTAAAATTAAAAAACATTTCAATTTTTTAAATATCATGGCAAAATATGATTGTCTAAACATCATTTTCGATCTCAAAATTAGCCAAATAATAAAATTTGATTATCACCGTAAGATATTAACTTTCAAATAGTATGAGGGATCTAAACTTATGTATTAAAATCCTTGTACTAACTGCTATAGAAAATTATAAAATTTTCAAATTTTGACCAATAAAATGAAAATTTTATAGATAAATATACAACTCGAGATCGACAATTCACCTGTTTTAGTGGATGTTTTGAAATATGAACTCTTAGAATTTCACATATTAATTCAAGTATATATGAATTCTTACAAAGAGGCTACATAGTTCGACTCACGTCTTTTTTTTTTTTTTTTTTCCTTTGCTGCAACATGAAAATTTCATTTTAACTATAAAATTTGAGCACTAAGACTTGAGAAAAATATTGAGATGCATTGGCATATCATTTTCTGAGTAAGTTAATTTACGTGACTTTTAATAACATAAAATGATATGTCTTTTAAAGTACTCTGTTGCCAGTTCTGCTCACCTTTAAGCAATTAGTCTCGAAAAGAAATAATTTTTTTCTTTCTTTTGCACTTTGTGAAAATAAAAAAATAAAAAACCTTTTTTGGTACGAAAAAGTTTGTCCTCCTCCATTTTGCACCTTTCTTTCACTGCAAAATATCTACCAAAATGTGGTATGGGTACCTTTTTTTTTTTTTGTCCCTTTTCTCCATCCACATTTAAATTAATTTATCCATAAAAAGGTTACTTTTATTTAGTCACATCTTTCAACTATAATATCTATCAATTACCTGTTATAGAATTTATATTATGCAAAAAAAGCTACTCTATCACAAATAATGATTCATGTTACACATATTGAATAAAGGGCACAAGGTGTTTTTTCCATGTAGGCATACACTTTGCTTTATCCTCACGTTGCCCCTCAATTATAATTGTAAAAATGTAGGCCAAATTTAAATAAAAAAGGAAAAAAAGAGGAAGTTAAAATAGCTCTATCATCCTAAGGCCAATTTGACATTGTTGTGTTGTTAAAAATTTTTATTGTTGTTGTGTTATTAGTAATAAATTGGTATGACCAAAAACATAAAGGTATTTGGTAAATAGTTTTATAAAATTGCTATGAATACTAGAAGCAGAAATTTATGTATTTGATAAACTGTATATAAAATTGTTATGGAAATGTATAATGACGAAAATAGACATACTTTAGTACATATTTATAGTTAGTTTTATTTTTTATGGTCAATATTCAAAATATAGAAAAATATAATTTTAATTTTATTAATTAAAATATTTCTTAAAAATAAATTATCTTATTGATGGAAAAAATTATTCTTCTACTAAATTTCTTATTTATTGTTGTTATTTCAAACATCTTCATAATTATGTAAAAATAGTTTGAGTAAAATTTAACATAGTATATTTGTTAAAGATTTTCAATTTTAAATAACTATCTTAAAAATATATGTTTTTTAATTTGGAATGAAAAAGGTCAAATAGGAAGATTGAAAATTAAATTTATTGCTATAGCTTCTTTTTTTAAAGCTAAAGACAATCTCTAAAAATAATGTCAAAAAGGTCCTAAATAATTCACCCCTTGATAGAAAGAAAAGGAAACCGCTCGTTATTTAGCTTAACAGCGTGTAAAAGTCTGATCATTACGTAAGGTAAAAGCTAAAGCTATATTATATATCAGCTTCCACGGATATAAAATCTCACTTTGCTTTTTCTTTTTTCTCTTCAATTTTACACATTTCTACTCTCTCTATACCCTCCTTTCTAATCGAACATGTCTGCCTTTAGGAGCAAATACCAAGGTAATCCTCTTAGATTTATGACTTCTTTTTGGTTTTTAATTTTTTGTTATATTTAAAGCAACTTTTAAAATATGAGTTTAAAAAATTTATTTTCTAATGAATCAATGAGAAGGGCAGTTTTGAATTTTTACATCTTAAAAAAGCTTCATGTATCCAAATTTTTTTTTTTTTTAAATGTTTACCAATTCAAAATGATCAAAAACACGAGTAGTACTACAAGCAAAATTCACTAAATCACAGGGTAAATATGATATTTTCTCTTATTTATTTGTTTATGTCTGTGTGTGTTTGTTTGTGGATGCAGATCCTGAATTTTTTTTTATACATATATTTATACCTTGCTGATCAACGCGAAGTTAAGACATTCATTAAAAAAAAAAAAAAAACTCGAAGTTTTTGATTTGTATGTTTTGTTTCAGCGAGAAAGATATGCTAGCTCTAACATTGCTTTGGTTTTACTCATGGATTTAAATCTGTTATAATAAAGAATGGCCTTTAGAAGCTTTTTATGTTATTTTTCCCTTCGACATCAGATCCTCCTTGGGGCTTCATTAATGGAACTGATATAATCTTCTGTGTTTCTTTAATACCCTTCAGAAGTAGCAAGGTGTTAATTTGCGTGTGCTCATCGTTAGCTGTATTGGGAAAATGTCTTTCGTTCATGGTGAAGTTAAATGAGACATAAATTTAAAGGCCCCCTCTTTTCGCAATTTGAATAACAAAAATTTTATATTTTCTCTTATAAAAATTTAAATTTAATTTTTGTATTACAATATGTTTTCTCACATAAATTCATCTTTTTCAAATAGCGATTATGTAAATGTATGTTACATTTTATAATAAGAGCATTTATAATGCAATGCTATACTTGATTTGCCAATTACAAATTTAACAATCAAGTGCAAAAAATGCTCTCCAATGCAATGTTATTTATTGTGTTAAATTTTTCATAAGTTATATTTTCAGGCAAATTTCCCACCAAATATAGCATATGAAAAATTTAACATATGATTGCTATTGGCCGAAGTGTTTACCTTTGCATGTAACATTTGCAACTTTTGCAATTTTTTAATTATTCTAAAAGTAAAAGTTTATTTTTTACAACTTTCAAAACTTAGTAATTATGAGAAAAAGTATATTTAACATTTCAAATAGCATTATGCAATTTAACATTTCCAATAGCATTATGTTTTATAACAAAAACTAAAAATAACGTAACATATCAAACTTTTTAATGCTAAACGTATAATAAGCATTAATATTTGCATTGGAGATGTCTAATATCATATATTTTCATAGTCCGTACCTCTTGGCATTACTTGAATTTAAGTTAGCATTCTGATTGGAAACTCATTAGTTTTTTCTGGTTTTGCATAAAGAAAGAATTGCCATTTTTCAAATAGTTCAAAACTCTATTTTACTTAAAATTTGGACTTCTCTACCTCCTCTCTAGTTATGTTATTTTCCTTTGATTGAGAGTTTGGCGAATTATGATTGACAAAACATTGATTTACAAGCTGTACGTAACAAATAAATATAAATTGAATCTTTTTCCAGGCTTTCGCGGTCCATTTTGTTTTGTACTAGTTATTTCATTATCTTTTTTTGTCGAAAATCTATGATTGTAAATCTTGTTCCTTTCTATCTAAATCTTGCTTGCCTTGCAGATGAGCTCATCGCTAACGCCGCTTATTTTCGAACCCCTGGAAAGGGCATCCTTGCCGCTGATGAAACAATTGACGAAATGACAGACCGTTTCTCGGCCATCAATGTCGAGAATGTTGAATCAAACAGGCGTGCTCTGCGTGAGCTCCTCTTCACCACTCCGGGAGCCCTGCAATACCTTAGTGGAATTATTCTATTCGAGGAAACTCTGTACCAAAAGACCGCCGCTGGTAATTTGTTTTTAGGGCCCGTTTGATTCATAAGTTTAAACAGAAATTAAAATTTCGTGAGAAAAAATGCTGTAACAGAAAGATTTGAACAGTTTTAAAACTATGAACAAAAGCATGGTTAAATTTGTTTAGGCATCTTGGAATTGGTTTCCGTTTCTTTTACTATTCCCCCTATCTAGATGAAAGTTCCCCGTGAATTGACTTCTGTTCGATTCGTAAACGGTTTAGAATATCCTAATTATTTTCAAGTTTACTTGTTGAAAACTTTTCACTTTCAGTTATCGGAATGGTTTTAAACAGTGTCTTATACATTGTTTACTACGCATTTCAGGTAAGCCTTTCGTTGAAGTTTTGAAGGAAGGCGGCGTCCTTCCCGGAATCGGGATCGACAAGGGTCTCGTTGAGCTTCCGGGCACCAATGGCGAGACCACAACCGAAGGTCTTGATGACCTTGGCCAACGTTGCCGGAAATACTACGAAGCCGGTGTTCGGTTTGCCAAGTGGCAAGTTGTGCTCAAGATTGGCACCAATGAGCCTTCTCAGTTGGCCATCAACGAAAATGCAAGTGTCCTAGCTCGTTACGCCGCCATTTGCCAGGAGAATCGTCTTGTTCCCGTTGTTGAGCCCGACATCCTCCTCGAGGGGTCCCATGACATCGAGAAGTGCGCTGCGGCGAGCGAGCGCGTTCTCGCTGCCATCTACAAGGCCTTGAACGACCACCATGTCCTGCTTGAGGCAACCCTTCTGAAGCCCAGCATGGTGACCCCAGGATTAAAGGCCAAAAAGGTCGCACCCGAGGTGATCGCCGAGTACACTGTCCGTGCCCTTCAGCGCACCGTGCCGGCGGCTGTTCCCGCCATCTTGTTCCTGTCTGGTGGGCAAACCGAGGAGGAGTCTACCCGCAACCTCAACGCCATAAACAAGGTCAAGGGAAAGAAGCCGTGGTTGCTTTCCTTCTCCTACGGACGGGCGCTCCAGAAGAGCACGCTCTTGGCATGGGCAGGAAAGGAAGAAAATATTCGCAAGGCCCAGGCTGCTTTCCTCGCCAGGTGCAAGGCCAACTCGGAGGCGACCCTCGGAACTTACAAGTACTAAGGAAACTCGGGCTTTTGCAGTAGCTTCTTTCGTGTTTCTGTTTCGACTCGAGTAAATTCAGATATGAGAATAAGAATGCCGTGTTTTAACTTATATGTCATAGAATCTTCTTCCTGATCTCGAGTTGTAGAAGGATATTGTTGTTGGTGTTAATAAGATTGAGGTACCTTTTTTATGGCGAGTTTGCCGAATGGTATTTTTATTTTGGTTTGGAAACTGCTAGTGTTTTTTGTTTTCTATTCAAAACTGTGATTTTATCTGTTAATTAACTTCGTTTTATACATGCGCATTTGTTTCCTTGTTCCTGTTTATAATATTGCTGAATTGGAACTCAAATGTTTAACTACTTTTAGAATTCTAACCGAACTGCCTAACGATTTAATTATGAACCAAACAAATGTATCTGTTAAGATTGAATAGTAGTTATCATTTCTCCTCTTCGACATTATATATTGTCGTTTAGAGATATCAATGTCGTAAGATAAATCACTACAAGGTCTTCGTTGAAGGCTTGAAGCGCCATAATCTTGTACCGTTCGTGGCTTTCTCGGGGACTCATGTTCTCATGTTTTGAGCGAGTAGCCAAGTAGTGGTTATCTTTTGGCAGAAACGTTATACGTTTGATTATTCTAGAATATGCTATAAGAGGTCGATTGAATAATTAAATCTAAAGTAATACGACATGTCCAGAACAATAAAAAATCTGAATAAAACTTGATAACATGGATTTTATGCATAGTAAAAAAAAAAATGAAACAACTCTTCTGTTTTCATCATATCGAAATGCATGTAAACAGTCTTATCGCGTCATTATTCATTGTTTTATGATATGATATCTTATAGGTTTCAATCTAAATCAAGTTCAGTCCAAGCCTTTTTTAATTTTGTTGCGTTTTTATATCATCCTATAGGAATATCACAATTTCATCGAGATCTTTACAGCGTAAGAGACTCAGAGTCCCACATTTTCTATTCCTTGCTATCTAAATGAGAAAATGCGTATTATACGTGGTGGTGAGCGCTGTGTATAAAAGCTCAGAGAGAATGACAACATACAAAAGTCTTAAATGAGAAAATTAAAAATTCTGCAACATACAAAAATTCTGCAACTTGAGCTTAAGATTCATGAAAGAGGAAAAAGCGAATGAGAAAATGAAAAAAGAAAGAAAGCTCTAGTACTTTCATGATCAGAATTAGCAGCTTAGAGAGAGAAAGTCAGAGAGAGAGAGAGAAAGTTTGATGATAAAGACTGTAAATCTGTAATGTCATGGCCTTGTTTTGGTTCCCTCTGGTGGGAAGCTTCTTCACTCTTT